GCTTTTGGGCCAGCTTGGAGGGCCTGGATGATGCCTGGGTCTGATGACAGCTATCTGTGACCCTGAACTAAGGGGTAATGTGGCATAAACGGAGGCCGAGGCCAGGAGGGGACACCTGGGACATGTGATGACCAGTGATTTCCCCGTCCCCCACCACCTCTGCCCCCACTCCCCACCCCCACCCCAGGTGGGCTGAGAGCAGTGGCTGAAGCACAGGCCAGTGCCAGAACACTCCCTCACGCCACGGCCACAGGACGGACGCTGGCCTGGTTCCTTTTACTGCCTGTGTTGGATTTCTTAGTATTCCAAACATCGTCCGCCTGGTTTCTCATGCGGTGCAGGCCCTGGAAGAACCCAGGAGAGCAAACACTGGCCAGGGTCCTCAGGAACGAACAGGCTGGGCCGGCCCAACAGCTGAGACGACCCTGCCTCAACAGCGTCAGGATAGCATCCAGTTTGGCTTCAGAGGGAGGAAAGAGGCGGCAGAACATGCCCTCATCCGAACCCAGGGACAGGTGCACACGGAGCCGCTGTGACCGACCCTCTGACCTCTGGAGAGCCGACTTCTTCACACACGGCCCAGGCTCAAGGCCATGTCAGCAGCCCGTGAGGCTGGGACCATGAGAGGTGGTCCTGAGGCATAGCCAGCAGGCCTCCCTCGGGCTGGCGTGGGCCTCCCTCGAAGGACAGCAGACAGGTCCCCAGGCTAGCTAGCAGGGGCCAGGCTGGGCTGACCATGACGGAGCAACTGCAGCTGGCTCTGTTTTCTAGATGCACTTCCTGCCTGGTGTGCCCCCACGCCCCACACGTAAGGGAGGCCCAAGGCCCCGCACAGGGAGATGGCAGGACCCAGAGGTGAGCCCCTGTGTGCTGTGTCCACCAGCTGCTCTGCCAGACTGCCCACAGCCCAGTCTCACGCCTGGCAGGGCGTTCTTGTGAAGATGTGTGTGTGTGCACAAAGGTTCAAATGCTGGACGTGGGCAGACAGGGACTTCTGAAAACACCCCAAGCAGCACCTGCTTGCTCCCTGCCGGGCTCAGGGTGACCGGGTCACTGGAAGTTCAGATGGCTGAACAGGGGCGCCGGTCTGTGTACAAAGAGAGACGATACCAATATGGGGCTCACACAGTTGTAGATGTGGGTGAGCCCAGTCTGGTTCAAATGTGCAGGTCGGACGTAGGCTGGAGGCTTTGGGGCTGATGAACAGGAAGCAGGAAGCCCACTGCCTGGTGGGGGCAGCGTGAGATGAACCCGAGGTCAGCCGAATGGCTCCAGGGACCGGCAGACACTATGGCAGGCACTGGGTGAACCAGACGCACGATCCACACACAGCGGTAGGAGCGAGCACTCTGTCAGTCTGTACTAAGAGTCGGCTACACCCAGTGAAACCTCCCTCGATTGTACCAGATTAAGGAGTGGGGCCTCCACCCTATTTGCCCCACTACTGCTCGGATGCTCCACAGGAGCCCGTCACGGGGGTGACCACATGGTCACACCAGCTCGTGGCAGAATCCTGGCCCGGCCATGTTGACATAAAGCCTGAAAGGCTCCTCAGGCCCGAGGGACCTTACCAGAACAGACCAGCCAGTGTCGGCCCAACTCCCCTGCTGTGTTCTGACAGGAGCAGGTGACATGTGCCGGTGCCTCTGCCCCGGCTGGCAGCTGCAAGGTGATTGGGGCCTACGGCTGGAGGTCTGCTCCGAGCGTCACTGCGTCCAGGCCGCCAGCACAGCAGCCCTGGCTGACCACCACCCGGCAGAGCCAGAGTTGAGTCTGGTGTGCCCCAGGAGCCTGAAAGGAACCCCCTACACGCCCGGAGCCCGGTCATGGCCCGCCCATGCCAGCAGCTGACAACACATCGGTACCCCCTGGGGGGCACGTGTCTACCTGGGCAGAGGCCTGCTCTGGTGACATATCCTGTCTGCATGGTTTTAGGGGGAGGCCTGGGCCTGCTAAGGAGCCAGAGGGCACCCAGCTCGGTGGGGGCAGCAGCGGTCCACCCGCCCAGAGGGTCCAGTGGGCACCGTGACGCTGGCCCTAACAGGAGGTTTGTCCACATGCTCTCCCTGCACCAATTGACCCACGCCTGGTATTCTAACTTCTGGAGCGTCAGAACCTCCACGCTGGCATTGCTCTGAGCTAGAAGGTGACCTTTACCATAGCACAGAGTCCTCAAAGCTCAGGCCACCAGGGAGGCGACGTCCATGCAGGTGGGCATACCTTGGCAAGGCAACAGGCTGGTATGTGAGCCTTTGCAAGCCAGAAGCGGACCCCCAGGAGACAGGGTGGACTTCGTGTAGAGCATACACCCTCGCTCACTTGGCCCGTGTGAGGGTCAGGCTGCAGGAGCCACATGTCGGGTCAGCTCTAGGACCCCGATGGGCTAGCCCCCAGAAAGGATATGGAGAAGCCAACCTTACCAGCCTACCTGTGAAACTCACCCCTGCCATTGAACTCCTGCAGGATGGCTCCTGGAGAGGCCAGTGGGTTCGAACCACCGGCCTTTGGGTTAGAAGCCCAACACTTAGCCCCCTATGTCATCAGGGCCCCTTTCGAATCTGTTAGTCAGTAAGACATGAACTGGAGAATAAGAAGTCGTTAAAATGCCCCCGAGGCAGTGGGGTGAGAGGTTTTGGGCTCCTTGACAGCCCAGCCGGAGCCCAGGCACCTCCAAGCTCAGTCTGATCAGAACCTCCCTTCCAACCCACAGGGGCCGTCGGCTCCAGAGAGGACGCACCGTCCGTCACCCCAGGGGCCAGGGCTGCGGTCAGAGCTGTCACACCTGTCCTTGCTTTAGACTGCGGACTGACACACGTCAGTCGCCTGGAGCCGTGATGACAGCCTTAGACCAAACACAACGGTGTGCGTGCACACAGGTCCTGTCTGAGTGTGCGCGTAGGTGGACACGTGCACAGCAGTTGGTCTTCAACACAGGGAGCTCTCCTCCCGTGGGGGTGGAGTTTCTACACACAGGAGATATGGAAGGAGTGGCCGAGGGGCACACGGCTGGTTTTGTGAAAGAGCTTTAATCGGCCACTCTCAAGCAGACCCTGCATTTGTCCTCCCTGTGGGCCACCAGACGCAGGTGCCACACTCCAAGCATGCAGACAGGTGCCACAAAAACACGAGGGCCACGGCCACATGCAGGTGTGCGAGCCTGGCATGTCCAGGGGAAGGACGCAGCGCCGGGCCTGCAGGATGGTCTTGGCATATCCCC